GAAAACCCAAAAAACAACAAAAACAGAAATGCCTAGTGAGTTCTGCCCTTTTGATTTTTCTGACTCCTGTTCCTTGCACATTTCATTATAATACTTTGTCTTGCCAAGATATCCTTTGAAATCTTCTATTCAGCTCAACTTCTTCATTTCTTTCCTTTGCTTTGGCCTCTCAGCACTCTAGTGCAATATTCAGAGTCTTTTCTGACTCTCATATGGTCTTTTCTTCTTCCTCTATCTTTGTAATGACCTTTTGCATTCTTCACGGATGATATTCTTGGTATTTTTCTTCCCACAGCTCATCTGGTCTTCATTCACTACTGTTCAAGATCTAAAGTCTATACCTGAGTAGGTTTTTTAATTTAGGGGGAGAGACTCAAGATAAATTTTTATTCCTGTGGTTATGTATGATTTCACCTTCTTTAACTTTAATTTGAATTTGCATATAAGTAGTAAGTGGTCTATTCCAAAATCAGCACCTGATCTAGTTTTCACTGCTGATAATGAACTTCTCCAATGATTCCTTCCACAGTTGTAACAGATCTGATTCCTGTGCATATATCAGGTGAAATCTATGTGTATAGCTATTGTTTGTTACTTATAAAAGATATTTGCAATGAATAAACCATTGATTGTACAGAATTCTATCATTCTATCCCCAGCCTCATTTCTGTCACCAAGTCTATATTTTCCAACTATTGATACTTCTTCCTGGTTTCTACCTTTCACATTCCAGTCACCCATTACTATTAATGCAGCTTAGTTACGTGTTTGGTCATTTCCTGACTGCAGTTGTTCAAAAAAAATCATCTATTTCCTCCTCCTTGGGTCTGGTTGCCAATGTCAGATGGATCTTGGCAGAAAGCAAAGAGTACCAGAGAAATGCCTGTGTTTCATTGACTTTGCAAAGGCATTTGACTGTGTGGATCACAACAAATTGTGGATAACCTTCAAGAAAATGGGAATCTCAGAATACTTGATAGTGCTTATGCAGAACCTTATTTGGACCAGGAAGCAGTCCTCAGAACAGAGCAAGGAAACACTCCTTGGTTCAAGATCAGGAAAGGAGGGCATCAAGGATGCATGCTGTCTCCAATCTATGTACAGAACAGATCATTCAGGAAGCTTGGCTTTATGAGGAGGAATGTAGTATCAGGATTGCAGGAAGACTCTTCAACAACCTGTTATGCAGATGACACAACCTTGCTCACTGAAAGTGAGGAGGACATGAAGCACTTGCTGCAGAAGGTTAAGGACTATAGTCTTCAATATGGATTTAAGCTCAAGATCAGAAAGACAAAGATTCTCACCACTAGGCCAATTGGCAGCACCATGATAAATGGAGAAGAGATCGAAGTTGCTAACAATTACAGTTTGCTCAGCTCCACAATCAACATTCTTGGCACCAGCAGTCAGGAAATCAAAAGATGAACTGCACTGGGAAAATGTGCTGTCAGGGACAGTTCAGAGTGCTGAAAGGCAACGATGTCTATCCAGAGACTAAGAAGTGCCTAATCTACATCATAGTCTTCGCCATTACTTGCTATGCATCAGAGAGCTGAACAATGACTAAAGATAAGACGAACTGATGCCTTTGAGTTGTGGTACAGGAGAAGAGTCTTGAACATACCATGGATCATCAAGAAAACATGTCTGTCTTAGAGAAGTTGAAACCAAGTTTCTCCTTGGCGATTAAGATTTTGAAGGTCTACCTCACATATTTGGAGTATGTGGCCAGGAGGGACCAGTCCTTGGAGAAGGACATCATGCTTAAACGAGTGAAGGGACAGCACAGAAGAGGAAGACCCTGGATGAGATGGATTGATATAGTAACTGGGGAAATGGGGTTAGACATGTAACAATCAGTGAAACTGGCTCAGGACAGGGCAGGCTTCAGAGCTGCTCTGTATAGGGTACAACTCACAGCACAGAGGTACATCAACAAATGACAGGGCTGCTCCTTTAAAATAATATTAACATTTTACTGCTGTTTATATCACATGCAAGCAAAGTCCTGCTGAAGATTATTCAGAAATGACTCAAAAATCGAGTCACTGTCATCAAGTTCATCGACAGGGAAACAGCCAGATGTGCAAGATGGGTGTTTAGAAGAGGCCATGACACTAAGGACACTATAGCCAATGTTATATGGATCTTAAATGAAAGCAGAGAGTATCAGAGAAATGTCTGTTTTACTGACTAAAAGCATTAAAGGCACTTAAAGGTATTTGACTATAAGGATCACGGCAAAATGTGGCTAACTTTCAGAATAGGAATCCTAGAACACTTAATAGTGCTTATGCAAAACCTATACTTGGACCAGGAAAGAGACATCAGAACAGAGCATGGAAATACTGCAACATTCAAAATCACGAAAGGTATGAATCAGAGATACATCCTATCTCCATACCTTTTCAACCTATATGCATAACAGATGATGTGGAAAACTGAGCTTTATGAGGAGGAACGTGACATCAGGACTGGATGAAGACTCAACAACCCACATTATGCAGATGACACAGCCTTGCTTGCGAAGGAGGTCCTGAGCCATTTGCTGCAGAAAGTCAAGGACTACAGTCTTCAATATGGACTGAAGCTTAACATCAAAAAAACAAAGATTCTCACCACTAGGCCAATTAGCAGCATCATGAAAGAGCAAGAAGAGATTGAGATCATTAATAATTTCAGCTTGTTTGGTTCCACAATCAACTCTCTTGGCACCAGCAGTCAGGAAATCAAAAGATAAACTGCATTGGGAAAATCAGCTGTCAGGGTCTCTAGAGTGCTGAAGAGCAATGATGTCAATCTAGAGAGTAAATTGTGCCTGCTTCAAGCCATGGTGTTTGAAATCACTTGCTATGCATCAGAGAGCTAAGTGACTAAAGATAGTAGAAGAAGAATCAATACTTTTGTGTTGGAGTGCTAGAGAAAAGTCCTGAACATACACTGATTGCTAAGAGAAAAACAAGTCTGTTCTGGAGAGGGTGAAACTAAGCTGCTCGTTGAAGGCAAGGATTTTGAAGGTCTGTCTCATATATTTTAGGCCTGCTGTCAGGAGGGGCCAACCCTTGAAGAAAGACATCATGCTGGGAAGGGTGGAGGGACTGTGCAAGACAGGAAGACCTGGGATGAGATGAATTAATACAGTAATGGATAATAGAGGTAGGTGTGGGGGATACAATGAGACTGGTTCAAGAAAGGGCAAGGTTTAGAGCTATTGTACAAAGTTTGCAATGAATTGCAGATGACTGAAGGGCACATAACAACATACTGATCTTCTGTTTCTATAATGCAAACAATGGCTTCTACTACCTAAAGTATTCCCAAATATAGCCCAGGGATGTATATCCGACAAATATGCTCTAAGTAAGACAAATGATAATATTTAGGCTTAACAGACAAATTTAGAGGCAAATTCTATTAGATTGTCTTTTAGGTCTTATTCTTAAATTTGTTATTTCTCAGGAAAAACTTAACATTTTTAATTAATGATTACTTGAAAAGATACAACCACAAATGGGAATTTAGGAAAAAGTGTTCTTTAAAAAAATTTTTTTAAACCACACAAATATTATTATTATATAGTGTACAAACAGATCTAGGCATACAATTTAACTTGTATTCAACAAACTATATACTAAAAATATTTTTACAAATCTGTGAAAAAAATTATGACATAAACTTAATCTAAAAGATAATCCAGTTCATATGTTAGTGTTCTATTTTTTTTCCCCCTATCACTTAATAAACAGTCCAAAGGCTCACAGGCAAATGCAACAACTTTATTTTTCACAGTTATTGAAATCAGTCAAATATTAAATAATTTAACTCAGAAGTATTACTTATGCACACAAATTATATACTTGTAACAGCATAACCTGGGTACTTAAAAAATAAATGATGAACTATGTTTACATATTTACATACCGCCCATAATACTGATGGGCTTTTTTAATGCTTTTTTCCAAAAATTTTGTTTTTAAACAAAAATACATCTGAAAAGAATGAACAAAAAATGTGCCACCTACAGGTCACAACTTTTCATCAGATAGCTATGTCCATAAGACACTTCAATTGAAAAGATTTAGGATTTGACTTCACCTAAAGTATCAAGAGTATTAAAAAAGGACTCAGCCTAGCTCTTTTTAAATATAATAAATCATGCTTCCATAATAAATGAGCAAAGTTAAAACTGAAAAAAACAGGAGCACAAAATTTCCAAACTTTGAACACTGCATAATAAATGCTGTAAACTATTTCTTACTTTACTTACTTAGACATTTTATGCTTCTTAAACAATTTTTCAAGACCTTGTTAAGAAGTGCTTTGTTCAAGTCTATTGTTAAGAAATACGCACTCACTTCTGGAAAATATGTTAAAGTAACTGACAGAATAAGCATTTCCCAACTTTTCTTAACATAAGGATAGTTTTCTATGTGGGTCTCTATCTTTTATGTAAAGCTGACCCTGGTTCTATGTATAACATATTACATTTTATCTATATCCTTAATGGATGCAATATTATTTTTAAAAGAAATTTGACTAATTACTTTAAATATGTTCAAAAATAGGAGGACCAATTTAGAGGTTTAACCTAGGTTCAGTCCTGGAAATGGGTCTTTCATAAGTGAAGATGACTAGAAAATAATGGTCTTTCATACATTTACTGTTATTGTTTTTTACTTTAGAACTAATCTGGTATGTATAATAAATCAGGCCTAGCTGAGTAACACTTCATTCTGTCTTAATGTATTTTATACAAAATGCTTTAGGAGAACATTTTAATAAAACATTCTGTATCAAACATTAATCTCTTAAGTATATAGCTTATGGTTCTTAGCATTAAAGGTATTATTTTATACTGAACATAAAAAAAGTAAAGGAATCCTAATACCCAAAGATGCAGTTTAGATTGTATTTCTTTAATAACCACTGCCATTTTTTGTACTAAATTTTGTCAAATTCAGTGAAAAGGTAAGTTAACTAAGAAGCAATGCTTCACTTGCTCCCTAAAAAGAGGTTTTATCAGGCACTCATTGGCTATTCTTTTTTCATGGAATAAACCTCCCTCACTCTTAATCTGTGACTACCTCTGTCCCAATATTTGGGGTGCAATTAATCTGAAAATCTTAAAACAAACTTGCCATTTTTTTTAAAAAAGGAAATTCAACAAATCCTGACTCAATCTCATCTAATCTAGTCAGAATGATAAATTTCCCTGCAGAATAATTATTAAAAGCAATATTGTACTAAATTCTCAATCCAAGTTTCTATTTATATAAATATCCTAAACTGAACTGCCATCTTTGAGATGTAGAATTTCTTATACAACATAATATGTGCAAAATAATTCTTAACCACAAAACTTTAACAACTGCTGCAATTAAACTCAGGCAACATCCAGTACCCCAGCAGCCACAAGTTGCCTTGAGAGCCAGTCCAGCCCTTCATACAGTCCCATACCACTTCGAGCATCACAGCCCTGAATATACCAACTACGGCCACAGCACAGTTTATGGAGACTGAGAAGTTCAGTGATTTCTTCTACTGAAAGGGCTCCAGCAACATCCTAAAAGATATATACACAGCATGAATTTTTATCAGCCATTCAAATTATCATTCAATTTATTATTTCTATAGAAATATGTTGACATCTTTCTAATAGAAACCTAAATAATAGTAAAACCCAAATCTACCTTTTACTAATTATTCTGTTAGTAAAATGAATTAAAAAATATAATTTTATTTAAAATTATATTTATAGTAGCCAATGGTGGCTCAGTGGTAGAATTCTTGCTTTCTTTTGGCAAACATCAGCCAGGGAAAATCCCTTGGATCACAAGTCTGAGCCGAAACTGATCATGTAAATGACACAGAATTTTGTTGTGTAAGTTGTCATAAGATGAAGAGCAAACTCAACAGTAGCTAAAATTATGTAATAGATAGATTTATTCTATAAAAACAGACACAAAAGACTCAATAAAGGCCATACAACATAAATAAAAGTACCTGAGTCATAATAAGATATCAATTTTAAAAATTAACATGTATATATAATTTAAAAAAATAGTTTATATATAGGATTACAGAATGAATAATTTCCTTCTCATACCAAACATTCCTATTTCCCAGATGGAGTCACAAGTAATAATTCCAAGAGATTTCTATGCTAATTATGCAAATGAATACAAACAGAAACATATTACTGACAGCTTATATCTTAAAAGTTTTCACATTTTGAAAAAAGATCTTTCAGTTATCAACACAAGCAGATTTGTCACATTATTTTTAATGTCTGAAGTGCATTCTATGTACCAATTTGACTGAACACAAAAGTCATGTGCTCATATGCTATAAGACATCCACATCCCTCTCTATTTTCCTCTAGTAATATATTCTGCAGACAAATATTCTAAGACCTTACCCTAAAAATAACATAAATGTACATTATATATAGAAATATATATCTAGAGGCATAGTGGTAAGGAGCTGCACTGCCAACCCAAAGGCACATGGTTTGAATCCACAATGTGCACTGCAGGAGAAAGATGGGCAATCTTGTCCCATGTGCTTTACTCCTCTGAAAACCGGCTGGAATATCAGCTATGAGTTGGTTCTGACTTGAGAACATAAAATAACAGCAACAACAGTAAAAGACTAAATTGCCTTTAAAAGACTCCACTTAGAATTATAGACATCAAAACCAACTGTGGTGAAAACTCAGAAGGGAAGGAGAAGAATTTGAACACTAGAAATGGCACAGACTATAAGAAAGAACAACATGTATTATTAATCTTCTCTACTTAAAATGTTTCTTCCTTCACGTATTAACTCTAGGCCTTATTTGAAATCTAACCATCATCTCAATTCTTAATTCGTAAAAAATGTTGAAACATTTTTAAAATCACTTTTACTATACTCTCCTCACTTCCTCACACACTTTGAAGTTACTTACCAGTCTTCACTGTAGTATAATCACATATATTCACAGCTATTGTTATGCATTAATTAACCTTATTCTTTTGTGTACACCAAGGTACCGAGCACAGCACAGCAGAAACTTGAGAAACATCTACTAAATTTATATTTTTAGTGTCTTCAACTATTATACATGGCATGGGGTACATATAACTACTAAAACTAGCATTCATAGATACAAAGGTATATACCTGTTTGTTAGCAAAAATCAGGAGCAAAGCATCTCGAAGTTCTTTTTCCGTTAATAGCTTTGCAAGTTCACTGTGTGCTTCACTAACTCTGTCTCTATGACTGCTATCAACAACAAACACAACAGCTACCAAAAAAGACAAAGAAAAAATTCAATTACTTACATTTCAGTATGTGGAATAAATAAATTAATACTCTATGATATGTTCAGGATGTATTCATGCAGCCTTTGTGGCACAGTGCATAACATTTTTCCCCCAATATTCAGTTTCCTTTAAGGAGCCCTATTCTCCCCAAAGGGCGGGTGCAGGCAGTGAGGTGACAAGCCGTTGGCTCACTTGAAGATCTTGCCCTGGTTGAAGGCCTTGCAAACATGCTGGAAGGCCCCCTCCCAGCAGAAGTACTCTTGAGCCAGCGTCTGGGTCTCCAAACTGCTAGGATCCAGTTTCTGCCATGTATAGGACTCACAGTCCACCTGCCAATCTGGACTCAGCAGGAAGGCAAGCTCTTGACCTCTGAAGATCCACACTCTAGAAATGGAGCTGCTATTGTTGGTTCCAAAGAGGATGACACTGGCAAAGGCGTTTTTCTGCAGCTTATCCAATCGTTGGAACATTCCAGTGATGAGGTTGCAGCTCATGAATGTCTGGGTGAACTCCTCAGGGAAGTGGTACTTGGCAGACCACAAGGACCAGCCATTCTTATAAAAATGCTCCCAAAAGTGGGGCATGCCCACAACCAGCGTGTCCTCACTGGAGTACTTGCACGTAAACTCGTCCAGTAAGAAGGTACTTTGGGGCAGGTGAGCAAAGGGGTCCTAGGCCTTTGGCTCAGCAGCACGTCCCTGCTCACATTCATCCATTTCCTCCTCGGGAGAAGCAGCAGCAGAAGCTGCCTTTTTATCTTCCTTCCGCTCAGCCTGGGCCTTCTGCTTCTCCTCTCAGGGTCCCTTCTCTTTTCGTGGGACATCGTTTTTAGGCTGGCTTTCTGCAAACTTTTTAGCATCAAACTGGGTCATCTTCTCACAGAGCTTCACTTCCCCCAGGACAGCCTGGAACTGAGGTTGGTTAATGCAGGTGAGGAACCATCTTAGGGAAAGCCTGGCGGAAAGGTGGCTCTAGCACTTTTGCAGGGCCACAACAGGGTACAGACAACCGTGATGTCAGCCAAGGTCACACATTCATCCACCAGGACAGTCCTGGTCTTCAAGTGAAGGTCCAGGAGGCCCAGAATTTGCCTCACCTCCTCCTTAGCATTTTCTGTAGCCTGCTTGTTTTGGTGCATGATGTCCAAGGTGGGAAACATCCAAGTGCTGGCTGGGGGAACAATGTCGCTGTCAGGAAAGCTCACCCACTGCACCACCTGGGCTGCTGCCTCTGGGGTACTTCCCCACAGCTTATCATTGCTCATGTAATAGGCAATGGCATTGCTCTCAAACACACAGAATCCATCGTTACCCTCAAAAGCTGGAACCCTGCCAACTGGAAACTTGCAGAGAAATTCAGGGGTGCGGTTGGTTTGGCCAAAATCAAAGTGGGGTGATGTGGAGAGCACGCGGACTTGAGCCCTGCTGTACTGAGTGGCGATGAGGGCCTTGAAGGCCCTCCAGTTTTGGGGGTATGTGTACAGGATCCCAGCCACCAAGGTGATTACAAAGAGAAAGGGGGTGGGGTTCCAGTGCATAACATTCTGACTATGTTAAAAGTTATAATAAAGGTTACCCACTATTATAAGAGCATCTAATAATAATGAAAGAAGAGCTAAGTTTACGTGTTTATAACATGAATTAACAGTATGATTTTGAGTTTAGTTCACATCTCAGCTTTAATTTCCCTTCTAGAAAAAGGATTTACAGCACTTGCTCTACCAAACACAAATTGATATATAATTAATATATATTATTTATAGTGATGGTACCTGCTCTTTGAATACTACTTCTGTTACCAAAATATAATTCTTTAAAAGCAGAAAAACACTTTACCTCTAAAAAAATATTCTCTCCAGTTTAAAATTCCCAGCTCTGACATTCTTCACAAGATTACATTTTCCCCCATTAATCATACTGAATTTAATATAAAACATCCTGAAGCTAAAATAATTATCTAGTCATCTATCTATGTGAAAGACGGGATGATATATGGGGCAGCTGTCTTTGACATAAATAACTATCTTATCGCCTTATACGTAGTTGGCAAAAGTACAGAATAGGTTCAAATGTGAATATCCCAAAAGCAAGCGATCCTAAGATCTATAATACAGTTTGTTCAAAAATAAGTCATTTTATCTTCTGAAAATAATAATCATTTGTGAATGAAAATGAGGTAGGAGGGCTACTGAGATGTCAGAATGGACAAATTGTGTATTCAACTCTGTATACTACCAAACTGCCAGGGATCATAATTATCTGGCCACAAATGCACCGTCACTGTGGAAAGCAGTAAGAGATAAGTACTCTTGACTGCCTATGTTAGTTAAGCGAAGCAGTTACTGTGCTGTATTTATGATTTTATCATTAAATAAACAAAAAGCACCCCTTCCAGGCTTTTCATCACCTTTTCTCCCCAAAATATGGTCTCCTACTGATAATACAAATGTTTAAGAAGCAGCTTTGCAGGTTAAGTTACAGCAGTCACTAAAACTGGCATCCTAAAAAAATCTGAAAAATTAAGAAGCCACTTTTCCACACTTACCTTGAGTATTGAGGTAATAATGTTTCCACAGTGGTCTTAATTTGTGTTTTCCACCTACATCCCAAATAGTGAATTTTAAATTTTTGTATTCTACAGTTTCCACGTTAAAACCTGTTTTTAAAAAAATTAAAAGAGAACTTTATAAACAGCCAACTCTGTTTATAATTTTAAGGTAAATGTTACCAGAAGCAAAACACTGTCTGCATATAGCAATATATAATGCTATCTAACCTCCACTCTTAATAAACCTACACAGGAAATTTACACTTTTAATACTTACTAGCCCTCTGAACCTCTACCAGGGTGCTAAAAACTAAATACCTACTCTGCACCATTATAACCCTCTTATCTCAATCCTTATCCAAGGTCACCAATCCTCTATCCCTTCCTATTTTCCAACCAATAATAGATTCTTTCTTAACGATTCTACCATCTACATTTCAATCACAAAGTACTACAATTTATATTTTCCTCTCTGAAATGTTGGTATCTTAAGAGCCAGGAAATAGCCCACCTCCAAGCTCTATCTGTAGCAAGTAATACCCCGGGAACTTACATATATCTATAAAAGTCCATATATTAAAAATAAATAACATTACATACCAATGGTTGGAATGGGTTGCATAAATTCATCTTGTTTTAACTTAAACAAAATAGTAGTTTTTCCAGCACCATCTAACCCTAATGTGACAACTCGAATTTCCATTTTTGGTCCAATGTGAACTCGATTGTCCTAATGAAAAAATTTTTAAATATTATTATTACTTTCATACAGATAATTAAGAAATATTCTCATTTATCTCTTTGTTTATAAAATACTTTATTTCCTCACACCCTATTCATATTCAATCAGCTATAATGTGAATTATATTCCCAAACTTTCTAGAATCCAATTTGCTCAGAAAGATAATCTCTCAATTAATAAAAAAATCTCCCCTTACTATAACTATTTTGCCTATTTACAGATAAAAAATAAACAGAACCAGTTAATTTGCAAGTGCAACAAAAACTTCAAAAGTATAAACTTTATTCCTAAAGAATGGTGAGCAGCAGCAGGAAGGAGGAAATTATTTTGTGTGTGTGTGTGTGTGTGTGTGTGTGTGTGTAGACACATAAAAAAATCCTTTCAAAGTTCCACCAATTTTACTTGCACTCGTTCATGCATCAGTTTTTCTCATATTTTTAAATTCTTTTAGGATTGAAGTATCTTATTCCCAGTTAAACATGCTTTGCACACAGATGCACATATACATTATACGGAATTGCTCTTTGTATTTTATTGCCAAAACTTGATTTTAGAAAAAAACTGAAAATTCTACACAATAAAATATTGGTTTGTCCATTTGCTGTACAGAGGTAACTCATGGTTGCTGTGATGCTAAACACTGTGACACTAATGTGTCAAATGCCATAACGGTTACCCATGGTCAACAGTGTTTGGTGGAGCTCCCCAATTAAAACAAGCTTGGAAGCAGGAGTGGCATCCACTTCCAAAACAGCTTGTCTCCAGAAACTGTATGTACATGGAGAAACAATGAAAGCTATGTAAGTGTTCAGGTCTTTCATTCACCGGGTCATTATGAGTCGTCTATGACTCGACAGCACTTAACAAATTAATAATCAGAATGTTTTACTGGTTCAGAATATAGACCTAATACCTACAGGGGGAAAAAAATAAGGAAAGAAAATATGGACACCTAGAATAATTAATCCATATCACACTACCAATATAACTTTTTTATAATCTAAGACTACCTGCAAAAGGAATTGTATTTTAGCTGTGCTTATGAACAACCTCAACTTCAGTAAAAACCTCTAATGATAAGCTGAGTCCTGGACCTTCATAACCTTAGATGTTAAGCTACAGATAAAAGTTACTACAACTTGTAAGACTTTGCCAAAATATTTGTCAATCATGAAATTGAAACAAATCCATAACCTATCTAGAGAATATACTCTGGTGCTAGTTTGTGGAGAAACATATGCTTTCATAGGATTCTAGTAAAGTGCAAAAAGGCATACTGAAAAAAAAAGGAATTGGTAATATCTGTTGATGTTGTTATATGGCAAGGAGTCAGAACCACCTTTTAGAGGTTTTCAAAAGTGGTAAACTGCATAGGAGGAAAATGCCTCTCTTTTTTTTCCTACAAAGCAGCTGGTGGATTCAAACCACTGGTCTTTGGGTTAGCAGTGCAACTCCTTATTCTCTAGGCCACCATAGCTACCCTGGCAATATCAAGATTTAAAATATACTTCCTCTTTAATCTAGCAATCCATTATTTGGAGTGTATCCCAGAGATTCACTAACCAAGCATTAAAAACACATGTACAAGGCTATTCCAACAACACTATAATAGCAAAAGATTAAAACAAATGTTCATCAGTATGGGGTGAGCTAAATAAAATATGGCACATCCTCAACTGAGTCCTTTGAAGCTATAAAAAGAAATGGAAAAGAGCTCTTTAAACTGTTATGACATGACTATCTAGAATGCAGAATTAAGAGAAGAGAGTAAAATGGAAAAAAACATGTAAGGTATTCTAGTTTTAACTATGGACAGTGTGAATACAAATACAGAAATATATTTCTATCTTTAAATCTATAGGAATAAAACTAATAAAAATTGTTTCTACATTGAAAAGAGAGAAAAGAATGGGCAGGATAAGGATAAAAGTTAAGACTTCTCTGAATGTACTCTCTCTCTGCTCATAGATCTGACTCTGGACCATGTAAAAGTTTTTTATAATTACAAAGCAAGTATTTTTAAGTCTCTGAAAAATAGAACATATGAACATTTCTTTAAACTTAGGGAAATCCATTTTAATACATTCAAATAATTTGTATCAACCAAATGCCATGTAAAGATCTTATCTGGCCTAGTAGTAAAAAAATTAATAAAAATACCATTATCACGCCTAAAAAAAAAATCTATAAATCTCTAATATTAACCAAAATCTAAGTTTTTTACATGTGTTCTGTTCAGAGAGCTCAGCTGGCTGGCTTCATGGTAAGAAACTGTGCTACCAATGCAAAGGCATGCTCCAAGAGAGAAAGATGGGCAATCATCTGCTATGTGATTTGCTACTTACTAACTGAAAATCTGCTGGAGGCTTGGCTATGGATGGCTATGGACTCAACAGTACATAACAACAACAACAACAACAACAACAACAACGGTATTTTAGTTATTTTAAAAGAATCCTTACGTTTTGAAGACACACACTAAAATAGTGAAGAGATAAAATGAAATGCTATATGAGATTAAAATACCTAAGGTAAAGGAGTCTCAAGTAAAGCAGAGAAAAGAGTAGTTGAAATTGTGTTTGTAATTGTTAAAAGTTGGAATATCATTATTTCTAGTTTTTCCACCTCAAAAGTTTTTAAAAATCTGATAATTTGGGAATTACCTAGCTGTCTCATCAAAGTTACTGTCATGCAATGTGTATCATTTATGGTCTTAGTGGAATATAGTATATTACCTTTGTAAAAGTGACAGGGATGCTGGCATCCAATTGAATGTGATCTGCAACCTCAGTAAATTGCTGCTGCTGTTTCTGCAATGTTTCCAATAACCTTGTAATTTCTTGTTTCGCCAAAACAACTCTACAATCATCCTAGAGAAGAGTATTTTTAAAACATTTTTTAAAAGAAATTAAAAAAGATACACTATCCAAAAATAAGAAAAGCATATTTATATTACATCATCCAAAATTAACATGGCAAGCTGTTGTGTGCCACTGATTCAGAAGTGACCCACAGCTAATCCCCCAGTGGGTTTTCAGAAACAGTATATCAGATGGGAAGATACTGCTCATTCTTCTTCCGCAAAGCAGCTGATTGCTTCAAACCTTGTGCCTTTGTGGGATTACAGTGCAGCTTTTTATCAGTAGAGCTTCTAACCACCAGAACTCCTTACATGACTAGAATAGCTGTAAGCTTGATTAAAATAGTAATATTTGGGAATTATAAATAATTTAAAGAAATATCTTTTAAGAAGCAATAGTCTGTAGTATAATCACATAATACTATATCACAATAAAAATGAACCATAACTACACATACAATACAAATTTCACACACACTTTAAACAGAGGCACAGGAAGTTGGTTATATGATTCCATTTATATTAACTATCAAAACAAGTAAAAAGGAGCAATGCATTAGAAATAAAAATAGAAAATCACCCTTGCCAAGAAGAGTAGTTATTGACTGAATGAAGAATAAGGTGGATTCCTGGGATATTGATAAAGTTTTATTACTTCATCTAAGTGCTTCTACACAGCAATGTTCAATCTGAGCATTCACTCAGTTCAACGCTATGCAAACATTTCTTTTGTACATATCTACATATCCTAAAAGCAAATCTACTGTCACCAAGTCAGTTATTACTCCTACTCACCCTAAAGGTCAGAGTTGACTTAATCCATAGGGTTCTCAAGACTAAAATTTTACAGAAGCAGATTGTAACATCTTTCTCTTTGTCTGCATCAGATGGTAGTGGCAAACCACTGAAATTTTTGTCATTAGTCAAGTACTTTAACCAATGCACTTCCTACAATTCTTTGTAAAATGTTTAAAATAATTTAAGATATTGATGTACTAATTAACAAAAAGGAAGCAGTCATGGCCTAGTGGTTACAAAGTTGTGCTGCCAAATGAGAGGTGGGTAGTTCAAATACACCAGTGGCTCCAAAGGAGAAAGTTAGGCAATCTCTGCCTGCATGATTTACCACCTCTAAAAACCCACTGAAAGGTCAGTTGTGAGCTGATTCTGACACAAAGAGAGAGAAAGAATTAACAGCAACAACAACAACAAAAAAAAACCTGGCAACAAAAAAAATTCTAAAGGACAAATTGTGAATGTATCCCTAACATTCTATATCCTAGGCACTCTCAAACTGTACACTTTCCTATTTTTTTTTAAACATTATTCCACAGATAATAGTCTATGTACCATAATACAGTCTTCCTATGAAAGAGATCTCTTAATATCATGTAAGCTCCATGAGGAAAGCAGTATTATTTGGTTTGGTCACTACTGAGTACTCACAAGAAGTCCTGGTGGCACAAAGCATTTTGCAATAAATTGCAACCTGAAATGTCAGTGGTTCAAATACATCAAAAAAGATGGGCGGTTCCCTATTATAAAGATTTACAGGTTTGGAAACTCACTGGAGGTTTGCAATGAATAGGAATCAATTCAATAGCATTATAAACTATAGAAATGTCCAAAGAGTTGGAGCTGAAGAATAAAAAAGGAAGAATTTGCTTAGCATTTCTAAAGTTGAAATAACTGAAAAGCAAATTCAAGCTATGAGTTGCAATACTGAGAGCTACTATAGCCAAAATCTTGAATGATCCTAAAAAGCATAAAAAGGAGATGGGTAAACAGTCCCACTGTACCAAAAAGTACCTGAAAAACTTCAGGAGGTACTATAAGAACAAAAGCCAAGGTTAATGAAAGAAGTTCAAGCTGCACTAAAGTCACTGGCAAAAAAATTAAGGTCCAAGAATCGACAGAATAGTAATTGATATGTTTCAAGTAAACAATGCAGCCCTGGACACGCTCACCAGCCTTTCCCAGAAAATTTGGAAAACAGCTACACTGCGAACTCCCAAAAAAGGTATTCCAACAGAATGTGGAAATTATCTGACATCATTAATACCACATGCAAGCAATGCTTGCTGAAGATCAGCCTAAAATGGCTATAACAGAACACTGCCAGATAACTGCCAGAAGTTAAAACTGAGTTTAGGAGAGGCTGTGGTACCCACCACAACAAGATAAATAATCCAACTGAAAAATGGGCACAGGATATGAACAGACACTTCACCAAAGAAGACATTGAGATGGCCAACAAGCACATGAAGAAATGTTCAAAATCTCTAATTCTAAGAAAGATGCAAATCAAAACAACTATGAGATATCATCTCGCCTCAGTAAGAATAGCAAAATTTAACAGAACAGCAAGCAACAAATGCTGGCGAAGTTGTGGAGAAACTGGAACCCTTATTCACTGTTGGTGGAAGTGTAAAATGGTGCAACCCCTGTGGAAGGCGGTGTGGTGCTTTCTCAAAAGCTGCAAACAGAGATACCATTTGACCCAGCAATTCCAATTCTGGGAATATACCTAAAAGAGACCGTAACTGCCACCCAAGCAGATATATATATTTGTTCACAACAGCAAGGAGTTAGAAATAACCTAAGTGCCCATCAACAAACAAATGGATAAAGCTGAGGTATATTCACAATGGAATACTACGCTGCATTGAAAAACAAGGAACTCATGCAATATTATTCAAAATGGGTGACCATGAAGGACATTATTCTGAGTGAAATATCTCAGTCACACAGGGGCAAATACTACATAGTGCCAGTGTTGTAAAATAGGACTACATCAGGATTGAAGGGAGACTGAGAAAGACAGGATAAATAATGTATACTGCATTGAAACAGATGAGGGAGAAAACTGTTTAAAACGGGTATGTGATTGGGTATTATTGTCATAACAGGAGTCCAGAACTAAGGTTGCACAGTGGAGTGGACCTGGGGGGAGGGACTGTAAAACAATTAAAAGATTTTTTCTTTTATTTTCAGAGAGAAGAGAGAATTGGGGGGAGGGAAGGGGTGGGCAGAGAGAAAAGTGCAACAATGAATGAATGGAAATTCAAAGTCTTTGTACATTTTCATTAAAATTAATAATAATAATAAAGAGGCCGTGGCACCAAGGATATCACTGCTGATACCAGATTGATCCTAGCTGAAAGCAGAGAATGCCCGAAGAATTTCTATGTGTGTTTCACTTACTGTGCAAGGCATTTGATTGTGTGGATCAAAACAAACTATGGCTAACATTAAGAAGAACGGAATTCTAGAACATTTAATTATTGTCGACAAAATCTGTATCTAGACCAAGAAGCTGTTATATGAACATAGCAAGACACTGTGATGGTTTAAAATCAGGAAAAGTATCTATGTCAGAGTTGTATCCTTTCTCGAAATCTATTCAATTTGTATGCTGAATAAATTATTCAAAAAGCTGGACTCTGTGAAGAATGTGGCATCAGCATCAAAGAAAGACTCATCAACTTGTTTTACATAGGTGACACAACCTTGCTTACTGGAAGTAAGGAAGACATGTTATGTAGTAGCTTGATGCAGATTAAAGACTACAGCCTTCAGCAGTTTTTGGTATTTCCTCAAAAAACTGAACATAGAACTCTCATATGATCCACTGCTAGGAATATATCCCAAGAAAATTAAAACCGAGACACAAATGTAAATATGTTCACTTATGTTCACAGCAGTGTTATTAACAAAAGCAAGACAGTGGAAACAGCCCAAATTCCCATCCACAAAGTGAGAAACTATGGTGCATTCACACAATGCAGCAGCACTAAGGAACAACAATAACACTATGCAGCACTAAGGAACAACAGGGGAAGGGACAGAAAATGAGGAAGGGTGGAAATCACTGGGGTAACGGAATTTAGTAGGCAGATGGGGATGAAAGAATAGAAAAGATTCAATGAGGCTTGAAAATGCAGGGTGACAATACACACAAGAGATCTGGACATAGGGTCTCAAACAGGTAATATTTGTTGCAGCATTATTCACAATAGCCAAAAGGAAGAAACAACCCAATAACCATCAACAGCATATGGCTATCTACACACTATGGAATGTTATCCTGTGAGAAAAAGGTACAAAGTTCTTATACATTCTACAGTAAGGATGAACTTTAAAAACACTAAACTGAATGAAATAAGTGAGACATTAAAGGATCAAATATTTCTAACTTCACTTACATAAAATATCTAAAACAAAGAAATGCATCAAGGTAAAGTTTATTAGTAGTTATCAGGAGGAAAGAGAGAGAATGGGAGTTTTGGAAGTAGAAAATAGTGACTGTAATATAAATGAAGAAGCTAATATTGAATTGTACATTTAAAAATAGTTAAAATAGAACACTTTGTGTGTGTGTGTATAAGAATATATAAATAAATTTTTTTCCTATAAAAGTATCTGTAAAGCAGACAACAAATTGCTATGATACCTGAGTCATTATCACACAACAAAGGATAGAGCTGTGACTTCAAGGCTAAGACCCACAGAATTAATTAGAGACCAGTCAGACATACTAAAGAGAAACCCCAATAAAGAGCAGGGAGAAAGCTTCAAAGGAAAACTATTATGCTAAACCTTATAAAAGGAGAAATCCTACTATCAAAAGAGAGATCTAGGCATTCCAAACAGAAAGACTGGTACAGGGCAAAGAACAGTGAAAGAACTTGACAAGGCTGAAGATCACTGAGAACAGGACACTGACATGATTAGTGGAATAAATCTAAGTTATCACCAAGTCTAAATATTTAGTAAATTAACAGTACAGTCTAGTGTATACTCCTTTCCTTACTAACATTAGAAATCTTCTAAAAAAGGGTAAAAAAAATAGAAGTTTTGGAAACAGGCAACAGTATCATTGAACCATACATTTAAAAATGGCTAAAATAGCAAATTTTGTGGCATGATGATTTATATGCACATTCTTTTCAGGTGTATCAAAATATTGAGCCATGTGTAAACTATCTACCTGCTGTAAAGTCTTTTCACAATGGAGACAAGCTGTTGAAACCTGGGATAACAAAATAGTCATGTCTTCTTGTTGCTGCCTGAGCCAAATCAGTTTTTCTCGAACATGGGCATCAACAACACTTAAAGCCATTTCTTCTTGACGACACAGAGTTTCATGTAGATCAGAAAAATAAGCTCGGACACATGACCGAGCATTCTCTGCAGTACCCGGTACCTAAGGAAACAAAAGTAAGTCTTAAATAATTGTACCTTTAACAATGATTAGTGATGTTCTGTTAGGTGCCCTCAAGCTGACTATGACTCATATCAACCTTATGAACAAATACTGAATAAACACGTAAAAAATTCTAAAATTTTTATCTTCACACTGGATCGCTCAAAACCACATTTTATATATCCAACTGCTTCACTGACGTCTTAAAGGAAATGCAACATCTAATGTCTATTCTATCCCTTCCTCCAACTCCAAACTGATTCCTCCAACTCAGTGTAGAGCAATTCCATCTTCATGACTGTTTAGGCCAAAAATGTTGGAGTTATCCTTAACACCTTTCTTCATGTCCCACAGCAAATGCTGTTCACCTCAAAATGCCACTACCTCCACCCACTTCTAAAGACTTGATTAAAGGCATCACCTACACTCACTTGATAATTAAAGTTCTAACTCATCCTATCTGATCTACTCCTTTCCCCACAGTATATTTTCCACAGTGTAGACAGAATGAGCCTTAGTTAAGTCAGAAAGATAAGAGCATTCATTTGTTAAAAAATCTCCAAAGGTTTCCCATTCCACTTAAAGTGTCAAAATCCTTGATTTGAGGTCTTTAAGAATCAATTCCTTGAAAAGAGAACATCTGGGTAAAAACCTGAAGGATGTAAGAGGAAACCACACAAACATGTGAACATTGGGGGAGAGGAGTCAGTGACCCTTTCTGGTCCTGAATTCCCACTACCCTTCCTCTCAGTCACTCTGGTCTAGCTACTTCTTCTTTAGTTTTTGAACATTCCATGCACACTCCAACTTCAGGGTCTTTATACTTTTCCTTCTCTGTCTTTTATATGGAAAGAATCCCTTTCCTTCATTCATTTTTTTTTCAAAGCATTAAATATACTTCTGCCATGGTAAATGTTTCACTTACATGGTAAATGTTTCTCACCCCAAAATGGGGAGTGTAAACTACTCAAAGGCAACAGGTTGAAAATTTGTGTCTCCCCAGCCCCTGAAACACTGAAGCACTTGACATATGTCCAATAAATACTAAAAGTGAGAGAATAAAATATTTACACTCTACCACAACAATGCCCAGAAGAACTGTGAAGAATATTCTGAATACATGTGTGCCTAATATGCACTAAAAATGTGGATAGTGAAAAGGAGTAAATTTTGCATTTTTAAAATTAATTACAAATAAATGTAAGAAAATTTCTAGCATTTCTCAAAGACTTTCTTTTAAATATATTTTAGCTATTCCTGTATTTTCATATCCTGAAGAGATTCCTTTGTTCTCTACAATTTAATTTTTAAAATCAACCAGTTACCACCCTAGTTTCCTCTTTCCCTCACAGCCAAGCTTCTGAAAAATCAGAGAGATCTGCTTTTAAAAAATCTCACTTATTCTTAATTTGATTAATCCACAGAAACAACTTCCAAATTAAATTTACCGTCTTACTCCCATTATCCTCTCCCAGAACTCCTTTTCTCCCTCTATTAGTACAGATACCATCAGCTGGACACAGCAGAAACATAGTGTCATGGTACCCTCTACTAACTATGCAATCAATTATTTTAAATCAAATACTTGTTGTTAGGTGATCCTGAGTCAAGTATGACCCACAATGACCCCATGAACAAAAAACCTGAACCCTACGCTAGCCTATGCCATCCTTGCAATTTCTGACATACTTCAGCTCACTGCAGCAGTCACTGTCAATTCATCTCATTCTAGGGGTCTTCCTTTTTTTCACAGCCCTCTTCAAGCACGACATCCTTCACGTCCAACAAGTCCAAAGTATGTGAGACCACGTTTGCGTTACTATCTTTGCCTCCAAAGAGCACCCTGATTGGCACCTTCTCCAAGACACATTTATTCGTTCTTTTGGCTGTACTCTTTCCAATGTCACAGCTCAAAGGCATCAATTCTTCTGTCATCCTTAGTCACTGTCCAGCTCTCAGGTGCCCATCAAGTGTTAAAAGACTGTACGAGGAGGAATGTGGCATCAGGATTGGTGGAAGAGTTATCAACAACTTGCATTGTGCAGATGACACAACCCTGCTTGCTGAAACTGAGAAGGATCTGAAGTGCTTGCTGCAGAAGGTCAAGGACTGCAACCTCTTATATGGATTGAAGCTCAACATCAAGAAAACAAAGATTCTCATCACTGGGCCAATTGGCAGCATCACTATGGATGGTGAGAGATTGAGATAGTTAAGAGTTTTAGTTTGTTTGGCTCCACAATCAACAGTCTTGGTGAGAGCAGCCAGGAAATCAGGAGACAAATTGCATTGGGAAAGTAAGCTGCGAGGGACCTCTCAAGAGTACTGAAGAGCAACAACGTCAGGCTAGAGACTAAGGTGCGCCTGATCCAGGCTATAGTCTTCGCAATTACGTGGTATGCATCAGAGAATAGGACAGTGACTAGGGATGATAGAGAATTGATGCCTTTGAGCTGTGGTGCTGGAGAAGAGTGTTGAATATACCATGGACTGCTACGAGAACAAACAGGTTCGTCCTGGAGAAGTGAAGCCAGAATGCTCTTTGGAGTCAAGGATTCTGAAGCTTCATCTGACATACACAAGGCATACTGCAAGGAGGGACTGGTCCTTGGAGAGGGACATCATGTTTGGCAGAGTGGAGGGGTGGCAAAGGAGAGGAAGACCTTCAATGAGATGGATCGATTTTGTGACTGGAATGGTGGGAATGAGTGCATTTGAGATGGCTAGGCTGGCACAGGATACAGCGTTTAGAGCTCTTGTACATAGGTTCACTATGAGTCGCAAGCGACTCGATGGCACATAACAACAACAACAACAACAACACGCATGCCATGTAGTATTCCATTGTATAAATGTACCATAAGTTTTCAATCCATTCGATTGTGATAGGACATCTGGGCTGTTTCCATGTTCTTGCGATGATGAATAATAATGCTATGAACATTGGTGTACAAGTCTCCATTTGTGCCTCAGTTCTCATTTTATTGGGGTGTATTCCAAGCAGTGGAATATTTGGGTCATATGGACTTTCTATGTACAGCTTTTTCAGGAAATGTCAAACTCCATTTCAGAGTGATGATACCATTTTAAAATCCCACCAACAATGTATAAGAGTTCTTGTCTCACCACATCCTCTCTAACCTTTATTACTTCCTGCCGTGTTAAAAGTTTGCCACTGTTAACGGAGTGCGATGGTACCGGTTTTGATGTGATTTTTGTGGTTTTGATGTGCATCACTCTTATTGCCAGTGATTTTGAGTGTTTGTTTGTCATCTGAATATCCTCCTCTGTGAAAATTCTTTCCATGTCTTTTGCCCATTTTGTAATTGGATTATCAATCTTTTTCTTTTAGAGGTCCTGTTGAAGTCAGGACACTTTTGATATCTTTTCTGAAAAGGTATTGCCAAATGCTTGTTCCCAGTCGGCAGGTTTTCTTTTCACCCTGGAAAAAGTTTTTTATGAACACAGATTTATCTTTAGAAGGTCCCATTCATCAAGTTTATCTTCTTCAGATGTGTGCATTTCTGGCTGTATTTGACATTCCCTTTATACCACAGACAATGCCATCTAAGGTGAATCCCAGTTTGTCTCTGATGAACTTTATGGTTATGGGCTTTATTCCCAGGAGTCTGATGCACCTTGAGTTGGTTTCTGTGTATGGTGTGAGAAGTGGATCCTATTTCAGTTTTCTGCAAGTAGCAGTCCAGTTTTGCCAGCACCATTTGTTGAAGAGGCTGTCATTTCCACAATTAATAGGTTTTATTTCCTTGTCAAATATCAATTGACCATAGTTATCTGGGTCCACTTCTGGGTTCTCAATTCTGTTCCACTGAAGACTAAATTCCTTTTAATACAAATATAATTATGCTATCCATTTATCAATACTTCAATGGCTCCAAGTTGTTCTTTTTTTCCCTACTCATTATTTATATATTTTTATTTTTTATGTATACTTTTTTTTTACCTTGTCACACCACAAACTGAAGCAAAACAACAAAAAATGTTACTGCTTCACCCAAAAGTCGTGTTTCTTTCTGCCCTTTCTTGACAGCTCAGTGGGTCCCAGTGAGTGCTTTTAATAGGGGATCCATGTTGCTATTAAGAGAAAGTTCAACCTCTTTAACATACCCAAACACTATCAATCCTACACAATTTTATTTTAATTCTTAAACCTCTTCTCTCATCCCCTCCCCATAGTCCAGGTTCTAACCACCATGAATTTCTTTAATTTGTCCAATTCTTACTTTCTTATATTTCAACTTACGGTTCTCTCTCTGTGATAAAATACTACCCAACTCACTTGTCTCTAATTCAAGTCCTTAAATTTTAATTTATGGTGAATGAACACAGGAAACGATGCTGAACATCAGTAGTCATTAACCAATCAGTTGTCACTAAGTTGATTTCAACTTATAGGTGGAAGAGTGCAACTGACCTCTACAGGTTTTTCAACGGCTTATTTTTTTTAAATAACTTAGGTCGCCATATCTTTCTTCTGGTGAGAATGTGCAGAAACAGGAAACATCATCCACTTCTAGCACAACTGAAAATGGTATAGCTGTTGGAAAAGACATTCTATTGGCTCCTCAAAAACTTAAAACTTAGAATAATCAAACAATCCAGCAAGTCTACCTTAAGGTGTTTACTAGCAGTTGAAAGCAGAATACAGATAAATATACACTGAGGTTAACTACAGCAGTAATCAGTTTCTAAAAAATGGATATAACCTAAATGTTGTCCAACAGACAAATGAATAAACACAACACGAAACACCATACTCAAAAATCCATCATAAAACACAAAAAATGAAATTTTGCTCAGCCATAAAGAGAAATGAAATCCTGAAGTATGTTACAATATGGAAGAATTTTGGAATCATCATACTGAATTAAGCAAGTCACTGTTTTCAACTTGATTCTAGCGTAGTATGTTGCAGAATACAGAGAACTAACATTATCAGTGGTTGCCAGGAAGTACAGGGAGTTGAAGGAGATAAAAGGAGTCACTGCCTAGAAGAGGGCATGTATCTGTTAAAGGTGATAAATAAATCTTGAAACAGATCATTGTGACAATTGTATAACATCTTGAACACAATGTCACTAAATTCTACATATGTAAAATGTTGAAATGACATATACATTTATCCTAATTTTGCAAAAGTAATCTTAGCTTGGCCATCACGTCTTCTAGGAAGCCATCCTTAATATACCTACACTGCTGTTCCTCCTACATGTTGCCAAGGCACTGTACACTTCCACGCCACAAAATAAACAGTTACTGTACTTTAAAGATTTCCACTCTTGTAAATGGGTTAAGTTTCATGAAACTTGACAAGTTTTTAAAAGACATTTTCTAGTGATTAATGCAGTACTGACATGTTGTAATTCATCAAAGAACAATTCTTTGAAGGAGAAAAAGAAAGAAAGAAATGAAACTGCAAAGAGGAAGGGGAAGAAAAAAAACTCATACATGTTCAGTATGGGCCATTCCAATTCCATCTTCCACAATTTGTTCTCCTCCTTCAATGTGCTGAACAATTCCAAGCAATTTTCTTGAATAATCTGAAATTTCCTCTGTAAAGGTCCGTATGCAGTGAGCCATATCTAAAATTGATGCTCTGATCTGATTAGCTTCTGGTTCCAATACTGAATGCTATTAAAAAAACATAATTAATGCTAACATAATTAAAGGAAAGGATTTTACAACTAGTTAACAGTACTATTCAAGGTATTTCAACTCCTCTAATTTTTAAAACAGTATCAGCCACAAGTGGTATTTTTGCTACATTTACAAAGAAACACAGACTAAGAAGATAAAAAATACTAATTCCTTCTGAACTTTTCACATGAAAACAATTTACCATACAAAGAAATAATTTAAAATTTGGAAGTTCATTTAACATGAAAAAAATACTAAGATTATTTTTAAAACTGTATGATAAGTAGCAGTCCATCAACAAACATCACTAATGTAAAATAATACAGTACATTATGAAAACATGTACACAAAAATGATGCCTTTTCCTGCTAGAAAGTCATTCTTCAGGAACCAAACAATTCATACAGTTTCTCTGAAATTTCTGTTGCAATATTAATGAATGAAATTTTTCCTTTGTTTCATGCTAATTATTCCAATTAGTTCACCTTTAAATCTTCTTCAGTATGTACCTATTAATTTATAAGAAGAAAAGCAGATGAAAACAGATGATGTAGAGTAAAAGAAGTAGGAGCCATATAACACAAAATCATACCTTGTGACCTTGGTGTTTTCCGTATTCTTTGCAGACACAACACATAAGTGGGCTAGCTTGACAACCATCTTCCAGGCAAACAAATTCAATGGCATGCACTTGGTGCTGAGAGCACATGGTTTTCTCGTGAGGCTTATCAGCTAGAGGCACACGCTTGTGCTTTGCTAATGTCTTTGTAGAGTGAGTAATTTGGGAACACTCTGAGCACAAGTGAGTTGCACACACAGTGCAATACACAGATGCAACATGAGCTTCATCTTCATCACAACGTATGATGCTCTGACAAACAAAAGATTATAACGTGACATATTTTAAAATATAAAAACCACTAACATTTCTTTTTTTACTGACCAGACTTAATATGTAAAAATATAAAAGTAACCAAGTACAAAGGTTATTTGTTACTCATCTGAGAGCATCTTTTTCCAACACTGATCACCAATATATGCGGTGAATTCTTTATAAGCAGCTCTGTATAGTGTGCAACATGTTGTGTTAATGACCAAAAGATTATGAGTTCAAATTTACCAGTCACTTGACAGGAAATATGGGCACCCTTGTTCCAGTAAGACTTACATCCTCAGAAATCCAATGAAGTGTCACAATGAGTTATAATCAACTCAAAGCCTGTGAGTTTTGGTTTTCATTATAAATTTAAAGACTACATTGCAACTATTCTTCTAGAATCAAGGGCAGGGTGAAGACTGTTGTTGCCGTTATGTGCCGATGAGTTGCTGTGACTAACTGTTACTCTACAATACAATTCTGAACCATCCTGAGTCAAGCTTACTCTACAATACAATTCTGAACCATCCTGAGCCAAGCTTACTGTATCTGACACACATACCCCTATTACCCCAGTCTGAGTCAATCCATCTCATCCAGCGTCTTGCTCTCTTGTGCTGTCCCTCTACCCTCCCAACCATAATGTCCCTCTTCAAGGACTGATCCCTCCTTGCAATATGCTGAAAGTATGTCAAATGGAGCTTCACAATCCTTGCCTCTAAAGAGCATCCTGATTTCACCCTCTCCAGGCTCAACTTGTTTGTTCTCCTAGCAGTCCACAGCATATTCAATACTCTTCACCACCACTACCACTGAAGGCATCAATTTTCCATCTATAATGGCTAATCATTGTCCAGCTTTGTGATGCACAGCAAGTAATTGTGAAGACCATGGCCTGGATCAGGTGTACCTTAGTATCCAGAGACACTGTTGCTCTTCAGTATTCTAGAGAGGTCCCTGACAGCAGACTTTCCCATGCAATAAGAAGATAACATTCACCAAATACTCTCACTTTATGTACACCTTAGTTCTTCATGTGTAAATGAAAAACTAGAGATTAAGACTAAAAAAAAAAATCTGCAAAACCTATATAGATAGAACTGGGCAAATGGAAAGACAATACACAATAAAGGGTCAATTAAAATGCCAACTCTTTGCCACTGAATGAAAATCAATTCATTGCTGACCCTTCCAACAGGCTGTCACAAGTTGTAAATGGAATGGGAAAAGAATGCCCACCTTTCTTCCATGAAGCAGCTGGTGGATTTGCCTTCAGGTTGGCAGTGAAACTCTTTATCCACCAGGTCACTAGATCTCCCTAAGGAGTTACTCATTCATTCTAATGATAATTATAATTAACTAATCAATGATGTTGGTTGTTGTTAGGTGCTGTTCAATTGAGTACAACTTATAGCCACCCTATAAACAATGGATCTTATTCTGTGCCTTCCTGACACTCTGGAGCCCATTGCGAGAGTCACAGTGTCAATCCACCTATTTGAGGGTTTTCCTCTCCTTCACTGACCCTCCACCAGTCTGAGCATCATGTCCCTCTCCAAGGAATAGCCTCTCCTAGGAACATATCTGCAGTATGTGAGGCAAAACCCCTCATCAACCCTGCCTCCAAAGAGCACTCTGGCTACACCATCTCAAAATGTATCTGTTCATTCTTTTGGCCATTCATAGGATGTTCAGTGCTTTTCTCAAACACCACAGCTCAAAGGCATCCACTCTTCTTCTGTTGAACTTATTAACTGTCCAGCTCTCAGAAGCTTAGCAAGGGACTGGAAAGATCATGGCACCTTAGTCCTCAAACTGGCAATATTATTCCTCAATAATTTGTAGAGGTTCCTAAGTGCAGACTTTCCCACTGTAATGCATCTCCTTATTTCTTTACTGTTGGTACCAAAGGTGTAAACTGTGGATCCAAGCAAGCTGAAGAGGAGGCCGTGACACTAGAGAGATCATTGTGGATGTCAGATGGATTCTGGCTGAAAGAAATCTCAGAAGAATGTCTTTCTGGGCTTCATTGGCTATGCAAGGGCATGTGACTGTGTGGATCATAAAAAGTTCTGGCTGAGAAGAATGGGAGTCCCAGAGCCGTTCTCCTTCAAAACTTAAGACCCAGGCCAGGAGGCTATTATGTGAACAGAATAGGAGAACACTGAATGGTTTAAAAGAAAGGATTGTCTCAGAGTTGTATTCTTGCTCTATTCCATTTTAATCTCTATGCTGAGCAACTCATTCAAAAAACTGGAATTTATGAAGAGGAATATGGCATCAGAATCGGAGAGAGACTCATAACCTGCATTATGCAGAAGACACAAACTACTTGCTGAAAGTGAGAAGAACTTGAAGTGCTTGTTACAGAAGATCAAGGAATGCAGCCTTCAATATGGACTGCATCTCAACAGCAACAAAACGAAGATTCTTACCAATGGACTGATAGGGAACATCATGATGGATGGAGAAGAGATTGAAACTGTCAACAACTTCATCTTGCTTGGATCCACAATTAACACATTAACCAACAGCATTGCTATAAAAAGACAGAAAGCAACTCTGTGGTAGCGATGTCATAAAACAGGATGCCTATGAGTGATTGTTGGGGGGGGGGACACCCCAATGATTTATAAGCCTTGACTCAATTTTTTTTAATGTGTTCCTTAATACTTGACATAATGATGTAAAAGAATGAAAGAAGTGCATATGCTATTTAGATAAAGAGGAAAGAACATGTGTATGCTTTGAAAAAGATGCTCAGGCTCCAACCTAGCGAAGTACTATTGCATTAAACTGTAGGTGAAGCCTACAGATAAGCATTTTTTTCTTAAGTCTCATGTGTGTATCTTTTGCAGAATCCATGTTGTAAACCACTAAAATGCAAGGGGGGAAAAAAAAACAATTACTAAAAAAACTATATTATACTTGAGTTTCTAAACATTTTAATTTTCATGAATTTTCCAAATTAATTTTGGGTGTTTAAACAATTGCATGTCAAGTAATCAAGAATGCTTTGATAACATTTCCTTAATATAAGAAGACAATAACTAGAGGAGGAGTGGGCCAGTATAAAAATTTTTAACAAAAATTTTAAAAAATAAACCAGTGTCTTTCTATCTCACATTAAGATTAAACAAAACCTGAAGGTCTAAAAGCAATACCATTATGTTTTCATTAATGAGTTTTGAAGTTGTATATCTAAACAGATCCATCTGAGTTAATGTGCTCATACACTATGAGATATGACGACAGCTTCATTCTTTTGTATATAGAGATAGTTACTTCACCTTCATTGTTAGAAGACTGTTCTCTGTTACAGTATATGTATGTGCTTATTTCTGGATTCTCAAGGATATTTCAATAGTTTCCTTCCTCAAGGACATCAAGCCAAAACTAACTCACGGCAGACCCTCCAGCAGGTTTTTAGGGGCAATAAATTACACAGAAGCCAAGTGCCCATCTTTCTCTCAAGTAGCAACTAGAGGATTCCAACTGCCTGTTTGGGGGTGTTTCTCCAATAGTCAAGTATTTTACTAGTAGTCATAGGGTAATTAGTTAGGAGTCCAAGATGACTCACTGTCATCTAAAAAAAATCAGAGTTAATTCACTAAGACCAACAACTTACACTGTGCATATAATGCCACCTTGTTTCTAGAAAGTGAAGAACTGGAGCACGTCTTAAAGATCAAAGCCTAAAGACTTCAGTAAGTATCCTATCTCAATATCAAGAAAACAAAAATCTTAACAAGTAGGCCAATATCCAACATCACAACAGACAGAAAATATTGATGCTGTCAAAGATATGGAAACACAATCAACAATGGTAGCAGCAGACAAGAAAACAAAAGAAGACAGTCTTTCTTTAAAGCATCAAGAACTTCAGACCGTCAAGAACTTTTTAGAGTGCTAAAGAGCAAAGATTTCAGTTTAAAGACTAAGGTATACATGGCCCACGCCATGGTTATTTTCAATTGTTTCATATGCATGTGAAAGTTGGACAGTAGAGTACTGAAGGTAGAAGAAATAATGCTTCTTAATAAGTTGTTGCTAAAGAGTATTTAATATTCCATGGACTGCTAAAAGAACAAATGGCTTGGAGGAAATGTAACCAGGGTGCTCCTTTGTGGCACATTTGGTGAAACTTTCTCTCTCAAGCTTTGGACAAGTTCTCAGGAGGCATCAGTCTTTAGAAAAAGACATCATGATGGGAAAGGTGGAGGGTAGCAAGAGAAAACAATGAAATGTAATGACAGTACTGTAATAATGGACCAAGTGACTGGATAGAATAGAATAGAATAGGGCAAGATGTCAATCTCTTGTTTATTCAACAGCACCTAACAAAAACATAGTGTTTGAAATTGGGAAATGAGAGTAGTCCTGCTTTGCTGTTCTTTGTTAAGACTGCCATGCATAACAGGAGCTCCTTTGTACTCCCTTATAAATCTAGTTTGTATATTTCTGCAAAGAAAGCGGTTGACATTTCTATCAAAATTGTGCTAAGTCTACAGACTAGTTTGGTTAATATTGCTGTTTTAACAATGTTAAAGTCCTCTAATTCATAAACATTTCATGACTCTCCATTTGTTTCATGATTTCTCCATTTGTCAGCAGTTTCATAATATTCACTGCAAAAATCTTTAACATTACTAATTAATCCTATTTCTGGATACTTTATTTAGATGTTACTGTAAATGGAACTGTTGTATAAATTTCCTTTCCAGTTGCTTCCTTGTTCATGCTCAGAAACTCAACTGACTTTCTAATCTTCCAACTTTGCTGAATTTCTGTATCAGCAATAGAAGCTTGCTGTAGGTTCTTTGGGATCATGTTATCTATAGAAATAGTTTTTCTTTTCCTTCAAATGTAACTTTCTTTTTCTTGCTTTATATCTCTGCTTTCAAGTCCTAGCAAAATACTAACTAGTGGGAATCTCTGACTTGTTACCAAGTCAAGTATTGAGAACAAAACTGGCTATTTTTGGTAAATGTCTT